AGGCAGGAGTTTGACCACTGCCCCCAAGGCATGCTGAGATGGTGACTGAGACTGGGGGTGGTGGCGCTTGCCTGTAATCCCAGCACTGGGGAGGCTGGAAAAAAAAAAACAAACCCAGGAGGATCATTAAGAGTCCAATCTGTGTAGTGAGATCCTGTACCAAATACATAAAAAATGAAAAATAAAAATAAATAAATGGGCTGGGGATGTGTAGCTGAACTTGAAGGCCCTCAGTTTAATTCCCAGTACCACAAAAAACAGTAGGATGGAGTAACTACTATGCTCAACGAGAATGAACCTCAAAAGCACTATGCTCAGGACAAAAAAGAAGGGCTAGGGAGATAGCTCAGTAGAATAAGCGCTTGCCTGGCAAACACTGGGGCCTGAGTTCAATCCCCGGTTCTGCCAAAAAAGAACAAAAAAGAAAATAAAAAGCACTAGCTAACTGAAAGACATCAGGCTCAAACGGTTATACCCTGCATGAATCATTTGTTGGAGCTTTTAACAGCAGGGCCACCTGTTGAGGTGATGGAATGTTCAGCCTAACTGTGGGCTGCTCACTGATATACACATTGACCACACAAGCAAACGCATTCTACAGTACATTAACAAGTCCTCAACCAATCTGAATTTGAAAAAAAAATTACTGCCTATTTGAAGGATAAAAGGAGGCAAGAGGCAAGAATACAGGAAAAAGTGTCCCAGAAAATGTTCCGTTACATTCTAGAGACACTAAGTAGTCTGTTACAGGGACACAGATCCTATCTTCCTCATAATAGGTACATGATGCAAACTTACAGTTTTCTTTTTTGGTGCTGAGGATTGAACCAGCGCCTCCTACATGCTAAGCACACGTTCTGACAGACCCACAACCTGGTCCCCTATAGCATTTTTGCACATACAGTCAGTTGCAGACGTGTAACTCCACATTCTACCTCTATTTTTTTTTTTTTTTTGTATTTTTAGGGAAGGGTCTACAGGGTGTTCGGGGTCTCACTACTAGATCAGACTGATAGTGATTTGCCTGTTTAGAGCCTCCCAAGAGTTTCCCTGTGTCTTAATCCACTGAGCTATTTGGCCAGCTTTCCTTTCCTTGAGAGTGGAAACTATTGAACCTCCACTCTTCTCAAGCCCCTCCTCTGTACCTCCCATTACCATTGCCCCTAACCACAAGTGGCTATTTAAATGGCATTAATTAAAATTTAATTAAATTAAAAATATAATGCCTCAGTTGCACTAGTTGCATTTCCACCGTCACTGAAAATTGTTCAGGATGGTGTTGTTCTAGAAAACTACCCCAAAGTTTCCTTGTAATGCTAACACTTAATGACTCTGGGGACCACTTCAGAGTAGTTGCCAAGCAACTGCCCATATTCTTTACTATTTTCTTTTTCTTTTTTTGGTACTAGGAATCAAACTCAGAACTTGGCAGGCACTGTGCCACTGAGCTACACCTCTGTCCCAAAGTCTCTACTATTAATTGGCAAGAGAAGTACCTTAAGGAGGGACTGGGGAGATGGCTCAGTGGAATAAACAATGTCTGGCAAGTGCAAGGGCCTGACTTTAATCCCCGGTTCTGAAAGAAAAAAAAAAAAAGTATCTTAAGGAATTGTTTTATAAAGTAAGTTACAGGGGCCGGGGAGATGGCTCAGTGGAATAAGCACTTCCCTGGCAAGCACAAGGTCCTAAGTTCAATCCCCGGTTCCAAAAAAAAAAAAAAAAGTAAGTTACAGTTATGTAAACCCTATACAGAGATTCACTTTTCAAACTAGGGTTTTCCTCTGAAAAATCTAAAATCTTTAGTTTTTAATATTTATTTTTCCTATAGTTAGGACAGGGTCTAGAGGGTCTAGAGGATCTTACTATGTAGATCAGACTTATAGCGATTTCCTGTAATCCCAAATGCTGGGATTACAGGCATGCACCGCCACGCCCAGTCTCAATCACCCTTCCAGCAAGCCCCACAGGCCGGGCCTGCACCACAAGCCAGGGATCAAACCCCAGCCACTGTGCTCTGCCTAAGCAGGAGCTTTAGTCCACTGAACTATCAGGCCAGCCCTTTAAATTATTTTTTTTTAAATGTATTTATTTATTTATTGTGTGTGTGTGTGTGTGTGTGTGGCCAGCTCAGCACACCAGGGGGCGGGGCTGGCTGGCATGTGGTGCTGGGGATTGAACTGTGGTCGCTGCATTTTTGCTTAGCTTGTTCTAAGTAGGTGCTTTAGACCACTGAGCCATCTCACCAGCCCCCTTTTAAATTATTTTTAACGTTGTGAATTATCTTTTGTTGTTGTTTTGTTTTATTAATTTTATTGAATTATCTTGAAAAATTTATTATTCTGGCTTTCCTTTGCAGAAAGGCACTATGAGGAGTTTAACTTTCTCTGTTACTGAAATAGTTAATAAAATGAGCTGCCATCCCTCCCAATCATCACCAGACTCAACCACAAATCCATGCTAATTCACACTACAGATGTACCCTTTCAACTAAATAGAAAACTCAGAAAAACAGAAACTCCCACCAGGCAGTTACATTACCAACTTACTTTGTTCTCTTACTATGACAACTGCTGTTTAGTTTTAATTATTTGCTCCCACTTCATAGCATCCTAGGATATGTGTCAGCACCCTCTCTGCAGGCCTTTTCAATTACATCTCTATGAAGAGACAGGGGTCAGACTACCTGGGTTTCTGTGCAAATGAAAGCATTTGCAGATTAGTATTTTCCAAAGTAGCAGGCTCAGATGCATGACATATGATTTGGTTCTGTCCTAGTCCCCACAAAAGCAATTAACAAGAAGAGTAACAGCAATAAACAGCAATCTGGCTCTTTTTTCCTAGGAGTGTGTCACCTCCCTTGGGAGGCTAGGCCTTGAAGAGCGGTGGTGTTGACAGCAAAAAGTGCCTCTAGATCCCTTAATCCAAAGCTGCTGGTCAGATTCTCTCAGGGCCTACGTATCAGAGGGCAGCATAGGGGACTGGTGGTGACTCCTCCATTCATTAATCTTTATGGTGAAAGACAAGATGCGTTAAAGAAAAAAACCACACCACCCACTTACAGAAATCCAGGTTTCCCTTGGTGTAAACTAACTTAACTACTGACAACCAGCGTGCACTGGCAGGAGCTTAATAAATCCTTGTTGAATAAATGAGTGAATAAGTCTGGTGCACAGAAGGTATTCAGTAAATACTTTTTTTTTTTTTTTTTTTTGCAGAGCCAGGGATTGAACTCAGGCCCTTGCGCTTGCCAGGAAAGTGCTTATTCTACTGAGCCATCTCCCCAGTCCCCAAATACTTCTTGAATAAATGAAGACAACCACCGAGACACTGCTCTAAGTGCTGGGGAAGGAATCATGATATTCACCATGGAACAGCTGTACGTCAGTTCTGAGCTACTCACTAGAGGGAAAGTAGTGTAATGAGCTGCAAAGGTACTCTGAGATCAGAGCCTGTGACCAGATCCTGATCCTGTCTGCCACGTTATGGTAGCCTTTAGGCAAGTCACTTAAGATCAAACAAATGGGGCTGCTTTCCATTTTGGAACAAAGAGACAAAACCTACTTGCTTTAAGAGATCCTTTCATGAATCTAGCACAAGGCATGGCATATAGAAGACAAGATATAGATAAATGGTAAAATACATCAGGCTCGATGACGACACACGCCTGTAGTCCCAGCACTACAGAGTTTGCGGCAGGACGATCTTGAATTGTGACAAGCCTGGGATATATGGCAAGTTCAAGATCAACCCAGCCTACATACACTGTCAAGAAAATGACAAAAAAAAAAAAAAAGTACAAGGAACTGAAGAATGAAATAAAGAACAAAAATGGTAAAACTCTTTAGTAAGTGATAACATTTCTTGAGGCTTAACAGTGCTCGTCACTGTGTCACACTCTTTGATCTTGTGATCATAAAGTTCTTGCGCCCGGTCAAGGGTATAGCTCAGCAGCACAAGTGCCTGCCTGGCAAGTACAAGACACTGAGTTAGAGTCCCCCTAAAAAAAAAAAAAAAAAAATTCGTGTCCATCTTTCAAGGGAGGTACGACCTCCCCTGTACAGGTGAGAACAATGACTAGAGGACAGTGCTAGAAATCGAACTCCATCAATTCCTACAGCGTGAATTCCGACCATCACATGGTATTTTCCACTTGGAGCGTATCAGCAACTAAATCGCTTAAGCGCTGAAACGGGGACTTCGCGATTCCAAAATCTTGTGAAGCAGAGTTAAACCCGCGCAGCAGACTCAGAGAAGTTGTGCAACTTGCCAAATCCGCGACCCCAGCCTTAGGAACTGAAGGCCTACTTGCTCGCCACCCTGGCTACGGGACGGCTCCCTAAGCACTCATGCGCACACAACCTCTGCCTCAGTGTCTCCAGACGTACCCCACTTCACAAACGCCAGCGGGGTACCCCGAAAGGCTGTGCCCGCCCCAGAGGTTACCGAGTCTCCCCGTGTCCACCCACGTCTGACAACTCCAGGTCACCCTTGCCCACCTCCCCAGTCCAGCCAGGCCAGGGGTTTCCCCGCCCCCGGGGGGGGGTGTATATGCAGCAACGTTGGGGGGGAGGGGAACCACAGAGAGCGCATGCCCAGATGATTCTACACGTTCTCCAGCCCAGCTCACCTGGGAGTCGCGGAACTCCACTACCACATTTTCACTACTCCATCGCGCTGCCATATTCCTTGCCGGGCCTCCACGGCCCGAAGACAGCACTCTCCTACACCCTAGACCGCCGGATCCAGGTTCCTCGAGCTCCGCGGCGCCCGCGAGTCAGCCTGGCCACGCCCCATTCCCCCCGTCCTCCTGACCGCACACCATTGGCTGACCCTATCGCCGACTCCGCCCCCTCTTCCTTCTCCTCCAATTGCGGCAAGAAAAATACGGGCGCCCCCCCCCCGTGCGTCATCAACTTGAGTCACCCACGCTGCCCACAGCTCGCGGACACGCCCCCTGCCGTGAGCTGTCTGGGGAATTGTAGTCCAGGTCGACCGCAAACTAGGGGACTCAGGAAGAACTCCCAGGTTAAGATTTGTTGTTTTTTTTTTGGTGGAACCGGGGATTGAACTCAGTCCTTTGCGCTTGCCAGGGAAGCACAACAAGCTATTGTTGTACTCACTATTTTATCGCTATTATCCTGGTCATTCTCCCATACCCTTTTTACCAATCAAAACCCAACATTCGTGCAAAAGGAAGATACGTCTTCTCCTGAAGATACGTCTTCTGCCTGCCATCCAGGTCTTAAAGTATAAATGTCTCATTTTTCATAGAGTGCTGTGCTTCCCAAGGGTCCCCTGGGGGGGTCTCCACGACCTTTTACAGGGGGGTCTCCTAAAGAAAACAATTTTATAATGCTACCGTAAGAAGTTATTTGCCCCTTCTCTCAACATTGTGTAGTGGAGCTTTCTGGACCCTACAGGGACCCTACATAAGACTGCAGCAGAATGAGAGAAGTAGATGTGAGAATTCACCTGTTTTTCGAGTAATCCCAGCACTCATGAGGCTGAGGGGGAAGGATTACCGCTGAGTCTGAGGCCAGCCTGAACTACAAAAGAAAGACTGTCAAAAAAGTAGGAGAGAGAGGGAAGGGGAGGGGAG